CCAAAGGTGAGAGGAAACCTGGAAAAAAGCCAGCTAACAAGTAGATAAACTATGAGGGAGGATCATAATAATAGAAGAGAGAACAAATAAAACTTTAAAAAGAAAATTACACACTTTGGGCAAATATTGTAATACAAAGGAAAATGAATCAACGAGAATCCTGTGGATTTTTGAGAGATCATGGAATAATAGAAAGAAACTCCCCAAATGGTACAGAGAAAGAAACAGACAGAGAGGAGGTGGAGAAGTGGGGTGTGTGTGGAGAGAGAGAGACAGAGAGACGGAAACACGCACACACACACACACACACACACAGACAGAGAGAGAGAGAGAGAGAGAGAGAGAGAGAGAGAGAGAAAGAGAAATAGAGAGACAGAAACAGAGAGAGGAAGGAAGAGTAGTAGGAGAGAGGGAAAGGAAAGGTAGCCACCAAAGAACATTTCAATAAGAAAGGATGTATGTGTTTGCACTAAGACCAGGATCTTTTAATGTGTCTAGGAGAATTGACACATTAGGAAACCACTTTCTCTGTAAAAAGGTTTTTATCTTCTTAGAGCATATCTTACACCAGAAGAGCTAATGTATGAATTTTAAGAGCAACCAGCATCCAGAGTGGTAGGGGAATATATAATGGTATATGTACAGATTGGCTTCCTCTTCTTGCATTAGAATTTAAGCTTCTTGATGGAAGGAACTGTTTAGCTTTTGTCTCTGTATTTCCAACACTTATTTTAACACCTGAAACACAGTAGGTGCTTAACAAATGCTTATTGATTGATTGGTTGGCTGATAATATGGCCTTAGGATTGGAAATGGATGATGGTAAGGGCAAGAGAAAAAAGATTGGGCCTTAGAACTTGCAAAACAAGTTCTACCTCACACTATGGCTTCATTATGATGTTGCTTCCCTCCTGCTTTGATATTTCTAAGAGCAAGGCACAGTAGAAAAAAGGGAAGACAAGGTAAAATCTAGCAAGGTAGAAAACATAAACATAGAATGGAAGAAAGAGCTAAAACTCAAGACTTCAAAAGCTTTATCTCTCTAATAGTCACAGAGAGAATAAGAAAGACCTTTGCTAAAAAATAAGAAAAGAAAATTTAGGCTAGACTGGAAATAAAAGAGAAATAATGAGGAGAAAGCAATAAAAGACTTCTTGGGAAATGATTCAGGAAAAGAAAAATTACTATAAATATGGTCTGGAGAACAGGAGAAAATTTCAGTTGCTTGCTTAAATATATGGGTAAAGAGAAGGTGCAAAAAATAGGAGAAATAGATAAATGAATTGAAATAGAGAAGGAGGAAGAGGAGGAGGAAGAAGAAGAAGAACAAGAAGAAGAACAAGAAGGAGGAGGAGGAGGAGAAGGAGAAGGAGAAGGAGAAGAAGGAAGGGAGGGGAAAAAAGAAGGGAGGAAGGAAGTGTAGTGGAGTTTGGCACGTGCCCATATCACCTAAGGTGGAGTTGCACTTGGGGAAGATAGTGGGGAGCCTGCTTCTGGTTGAAAGGAGAACTGGCTCATGTGTGGACATCCTGTGTTGGCCTACCATATAGTTGGAAAGCACCCCCTTTCTGTTGGCTACATCGTTAGAATAATCTGCATCTTTATCACTATCTGCCTTCCCCCCCCCCCCCCCCCCCCCCCGCCCCCTAATTTGAGTCTAAGGACAAAGTATTCCTTCACTCATGGCAAGTAACACCCTGTTGTAAGGGGAGGACCCTCCTTTTCTTTTTCCTTTTCAGTTGTAGTTGAAGGAAGGAGATCTTTGACCCAATGGCTTAAGCTATTGGGATCTGGGAATCAAGGAATCCATGCTGGATCTTGCGGCATGCCCAGCAGGGAAGCCCTGATAAGCAAGGATGGTAGACCAGTGGACTTGAATGTGCTAGGACCAATTCTATGTAGCAACTGAGTTAAATTGTAAACCTAATTATCTCTTCCTCTCCTCAGAGACTGAGGTAACATAGGTGGAGATTATGTCTTGAAGGAATTTGGGAGAGTTTACATATTTGGTTTTGCTGTATCTTTAACATAAATAATCCTTTGAAAAAGCTAATATGGTCTTAAGTTGTTAAATGGAACTGGAGGTCTAGTCACTGGGCCTCTAAAATGAGAACACAATCAGTCCGGGCTTGATCTGATAAGAGAATTTCCCTAATGTCTCCAAGGTAGTAGAGAACCCTGGGGCAAGGGATGGTAAAAGGTAACAGACCTGGAGGAGAGAAATAAGGAGTATGAAACAATTTAAGGAAATTCAAAGAGCTTGGCATAAGGCAGTCCAATGAGGAGGGGGAGGAGATAGGGAAGCCTATGAGAATGGAATAGCATCAAAATTGGACAAAGTTTGTCACAGAATTAATGCCCTGATTTAAAGGAAGGAGATAATTATTTTAAGTGGAGAAAAATACAACCCTAATGATAATTACTTTAAATGTGAATTGATTAAACAATTCAATCCAATGAGAGTAACAGGACAGATAAGAAAATAAAATCCAATAATTTAGTGCATACAGGAAATATATCTAAAATACAGACACGTGGAGAATGAAAATGAGAGGCTGGAATAAAATTTACATTATATCAAATGTATAAAAAAAAGTAGGAGTTACATTTGTGGTACCAGAAATAATAAAAATAAAAATTCTCAATATTAAGAGAAGCAAATAGAAAAACTATACTATGCTTAAGAAATTAGCATCAATTAACAAATATCAAAACTGTAGTTACCTGCACTAAATATTATAGGATCTCAAATTATTTAAAAAAATATATAGCTAGCTAAATCACCAAAAAAGGCATAGAAAGTAACATAATTGTTACAAGAGGCTTTAATTTCCACTTTCAGGACTAGATAGATTTAACAGAAAGGTAAATATAGAATTGAATGAACTCCTGGAATACGTAGAGCTGAAAGACTTAAGTTTTTAATGAGAATATTAAAGAATTTGGGATATATATTTATGTATTTATTAGTACCATGAAGTACCTTTACAAAAATAGATCATATATTTGAACATAGTATTTGACCAAAGTAATGCAAAAAAAGGAAATACTAAAAACATGCTTTATAGACCACAGTGCAATAAAAATAGTAATTAATGAAGAAAACACAAGCAAAAGATTACAGAAATAAATCGACCTTAATGATATCCAGAATAATGATTTGATCAAAGAACTTACTATAGAAAACAATGAATAATTATCCAAAATGCTAACCATGAAATAAACTTGAAATTATTTGGTGCTATTAAAGCAATCCTTAGAGGAAAAAAAATCTCCAAAAAGACATATACATATATAGGAAAAGAAGATTAATTAACTGAATATGTGATTTTAGTAATTAAAAATTAACCAAAAAACCCCCCCAAAACAAAAAAGGCACAAAAGAGGAAATTCCAAAAATTAGATAATAAAAAGATGGAAAACAAAAAGTCTGTGGTAATGAACCAAATTTAAAAGCTAATTGTTTGGTGAAAATTAACAAAACTGACAAACTTTTATCTAACATTAAAAAAGAAAAGAAAACCAAATTGCCAAAATAATGAATTAACATGGTAAATTCATAAAAGAAAAAAAAAAACACAATTATTTACCAAGACCTACTACACATAATTATATGATAACAAAATTGAGAATTCAAAAGAAATGGAGAATTATGTACAAAACCAGAAAATGCTCAAATTAATAGAACATTAAATAGAGATCTTAATCCAATCTCAGGAAATGAAATTGAACAATCTAAAAGTGGTAGGGAAACCCACTGGTAAAGATGGTTTATAGATGAATTATATCAAATGCTTAAGAACAATCAAAATCTATGCTACATTAATTATTCTTAGAAATTGAGAAAGAAAGCACTCAATTAAATTTCCTCTATGAGAAAAACATTATTCTCATACCTAAACCAAGAAAGGATAAAACAAAGAAAAAGGACTATAGGATAATATCATTATTGAATATTGATGAAATATTTTAAATAAAACCCCAACAAAATAACAATAGAAATACATCAAAAAATTATTCATTGTAATAAAGTTAGATTTATACTAGGGATACAGGGGTGCTTTAACATTAATAAAATAATTAATGTTTTTAAGTATATTAAAAACAAAACAAAAACCAAATGATTATATCAGTAGATGCAGAGAAATCTTTTGACAAATAAAACATTTATCTATGCTAAAACCCCTAGAAAACACAAGCATAGAAAAAGAATCCTTATTGTGATGAAATATGTATATATATATATATATATATATATATATATAAATAAAGAGAGAGAGAGAGAGAGAGAGAGAGAGCCCAAAGTAAAAATACTGTACTCCTTAATTTGCAGATTTAGTGCTGTGCCAATCAAATTACCAAAGGAATCTTTATTAAGCTTAATAAAATTCATTTAGAGAGACAAAAAGTACACTATCTCAAGAGACATGTTGAAAAATGAGAAATAAAGGGATAAGAGTACTTCTAGGCTTCTGAATTACATTATAGAGCAGTAGTCATAATAACTTTTTGGTACCTGTTAAACAGTAGAACAGCTGGGTGGCACAGTGCATAGAATTCAAGGCCTGGAGTCAGGAAGACTCATCTCCCTGAGTTCAATTCTGGCCTCAGACAATCCTAGATGTGTGACCCTGGGCACATCACTTAACCCTGTTTGCCTCAGTTTCCTCATCTGTAAAATGAGCTGGAGAAGGAAATGGCAAACCACCCCGGTAGCTGCCAAGAAAACTCCAAGCAAGGTCACAGAGAGCTGTACTTGAGTGAAACGACTAAACAACAGCAAAAGCAATAGAAAAGTAGATCAGTGCAACAGACTAAATCAAGAAGAATCAGAAACTGAAGTCAGCAACTCAAGAATTTGATAAAAATCAAGAGCTTAAATAACTTGAGAGTGAATTCCCCATTTTCAAATGGGTTTTGTCATTTCATGATCACCTTGGAAAGATAAATACAGTTAAAGAGAATGAGAGGTCATTAAAAATGGAAACATTCATAATTACCCTGTATAAAGTGCTTTCTGGCTCTAAAATTATATGCTTCTCCTGTGTGCATATATATGTATGGAGCGCAGTGTAGGGAAGGCAGGATACAGGGAGGGAAAAGACATATCTAAGTCTTGGCAGCTATCCACTGATTTCACCAGTTCCCTAGAACACAAGTTGAAAGATTAGATGAGGAAAGGACAGCATGTACTGGTCATATCCCAAAGTGGTTGGGAATCCCCTGCTGTTTGTCGGGGGCCCTGGAAGGCAAGACAGTGATGTGAAACAATAGTTGTTACGGATTTCTGCCACTGAAGTAAGTGAGGCATGAGCTTACTTTGGCCCTGGTGTAGAGACCTTTCAGGAGTTCCAGCCCATTCCAGTGTGGTCCAATAGGATGACCCTTGACTATAGCCCCTGAATTTCTAATTTTGAAATAATAGCTAAAATTTATAAGGTATATTTTATGGTTTACAATGCACATTAGTACATGATGTCCATGGATTCTCACTGTAAGCCTATAACGTGATTACAGTATTGGATAAAAGTCTTAGGAAGAACTGGGTTCAAAAGCGACCTCTGATATTTATTACCTGTGTGGCTTGGGACAAATCATTTATTCTTCCTGGCCCTTAATTCTGTCATCTATAAAATTAAGGGGCTGAATGAGATGGCCTCTGCGATCTCTTAAGTTTTAGATCTATGAGTCTTTGTGGCTATGATTCTTGAAATAAGCCTGTGAAGGGCTTACAGTACCAGACCTAGATACAAGAAGACCTGAGTTCAAAACCTACCTCTAACACTTACTACTTGTCTGATATGGTCAAGTCACTTAATCTGTCTGAATCAGTGTCTTCATCTGTAAAATATGAATGCTAATAATACCTATACATGTAAAGCCTACCTCGCAGGTTGATGTAAAGATCAAGTGAAATATTCTATGCTATGTACCCAAAGAAGTGCTGTTAAAAGTAGCTGGGTGGCTCAATGACAGAGTGGTGGGCCTGGAGTCAGGAAGACCTGAGTTCAAATGTGACTTCAGACACTCAATAGCTGTGTGTGATCCTGGGCCAATCTCTTTCTTTGTGTTTTTTGACAGATAGATCTGCAGATTCTTTATGCATTTGGTAGTTGTTTAGAACAGGATTTCTCTTCCTATTATTGTTATTTCTATGATTATTATTATTATTATTTCTTTTTCTATTATTACTTTGTTATTATCATGTAGAAATGCAACTGAGGTTGGAGGATTTATTTTGTAGCCTGCAACTTTGCTAAAGCTAATAATTATCTCAATTAGTATCTTTACTGATTCTCTAGGATTTTCCAAGTATGCCATTAGGTCATCAGCAAATGAGGATAGTGTCATATCTCCTATTTACTTTTTTATGCTTTTAATTTCTTTTACTGCTATTGTTAGCAATTCTGGAACTATAATAAATAATAGTGGGGAAAGATGGCATTCCTACTTTACTCCTGTATTTATTGGAAAAGGTTTTAGTGTATTGCCATTGCATATAGTGCTTTTGATGACATTTCAAAAATGTTTGAATTTTTGACATTTTGAATTTTTGAAAAATTCCCTCTATGCCTGTATTTTAGATGATTAAAAATTTTTTTTAACATAAATGAGTGTTGTACTTTGTCAAATGCTTTTCTTGAATTTGTTGAGATGATCATGTGGTTTTGCATGTTTTGTTTTTTGATATGATTATATTGATTGTTTTCTTAACACTGATGGATCCTTACATCCTAGTATCCCACTTGGTCATAATGAGTGATTTCTTGGATAAATCCCTATAGTCTATTTCATAGGATTTTGTTTAAAATTTTTGAATCAATATTCATTAACAATATCAGTCTATAGTTTTCCTGCTGTGTTATCCTTCCCTGACTTAGGTATGAGGACTATATTTGCCTCATAAAAGGATTCTGTCAATTTTTTGAGAATAATTTCTGTAGATGTAATAAATTCTTAATAACTACTTTTTGAATTTAATTCTTGAATTTTACCTTTTAGCCTTGAAGAATATCAATGCCTTTAAAGACAGACAGCATGTTTTATAAAAAGCCACTCTTCCATCCTAATCCATGGAGTTATATTATTTTATAGGCTTGGTTTTCTGGACTCCTCACAAACTAACTCTCAAGCCTGCAAGTTCAGATCACTTAACAACTCGTTCAAGACTTCTTAGGGCTTTGTTAGGTAATCTGGTGAAGAATGGTATTGAGAAGAAATGGAAACTAATTCAGCCATTTGATTATGGGTATGGGTTCTAGAATTAGCTTAGTAATCAAGCAAATAGCATTACCCCAGTCCTTCTCCAAAAAGACAAACTATGACAATGTCTACGTGAAAATCACAGAAGCTGTGGTCCCAGTGGGATTGATATTGATTGCTGAAGTAATAAAGAACAAGTGCTAAGTGTAAGACTGGTCTTTTGGAGCAGCCTACATATGATGCATGTGAAAATTTTAAGATATTATTTTTCAGTATATGTGCATTTTGGAATATATTCCATGTGTGTATTTTGGAAAATTGTAAGATGTGCTAGGACCTAGATCATCATATGGTGTTTAGTAAGGGAAAAAAAAAGCATGGAACTAAGAGGAAGGAGAGACCAGAGTTAAAATTCCACCTCTAATATTTATGGGCTGTGGTCACTTAACACAATACACAAGTCACTTAACCCCTCAGCCTCAATTTCTTCATTTGTAAAATGGGTATCATTAGTAGAATGTATCTCATGTGGTTGTTACAGGGACCAAATGAGAAAATGTATGAATGTTTTGCTATGCAAAACTTTTAAAAAATTAACTAGGTTGGCAATTTCATTGTTAGAGGGATCTCTCACTGAGAAAACTCCTACTAATGCAGATTACCACTTATTCTGCCACTTGTCACATTACTGATTGCCTTGGGGCATCTAGCCAGTGTGTGTCAGAGACAGGATTTGAACCAGGATCTACCTTGCTCTGAGGTCATTATATCTAGCCTCTTTTCCAAATCTAAAAGCAATTATCTAACGTCAATTGTATGCTGTTATCAGTTGTGCTGGTGGTGTGGTTTGGTTATTATAGTCATCACCATTGTTGATATTACTATTATTTGTGTACTTTATGTGCCCCTATAACAATAGAGAAAAATTCTATTCTATGACCAATGTCATCTGTCCCCCCAGGTAGCAGCCATTTGTCTTATAGGTACATGCTCTTAGTCACCAATGGTCAGCTAGGCTGGTGCATTGGATAGAGCAGTAGGCCTGGAGTCCAGAAGACTCAAATTCCTGAGTTCAAATTGGCCTCAGACACTTACTAGCTGTGTGACCCTGGGCAAGTCACTTACCCTGTTTGCCTCAGTTTCCTCATCTGTAAAATGAGCTGGAGAAGGAAATGGCAACCACTCCAAATGGGGTCACCAAGAGTTGGACGTGATTGAAACAACTGAACAACAAGTTAGTCACCAAGGGTACTGGATTCAGAATAACCTATTACCATGACTAGGAAAACAATTTTGACTGATGGTGGGTGGAAGTATCATTTGTGTGCATAAAGGACAGTACTTTTCAGTGTTTCCTTTCATTGAGGTTTCAGGGACATCCGTGTGGAATAAGATTTCTGTTTGAAAAATTTGGTATTATCTCTCAGGGATCAAAAATTGAAAGAGATTATTGCTTCTTCTCCAAATCTGCACCACTGCACTCTTCTTCACTCTCCTCACACAAGATATTCCACATCATCCCACCTTCTGCAAAAGGCCTTTCCCCATCCCTCCCACCTCCCCTTTGCACATATGTATTTTGAACACATAGAGCTGCCGGAGTTCTGTCTCCCTCTTTATGATGTGAGCTCCTTCAGGTCAGGGACTACGTTTTTGCCTTTCTTTGTATCCATAGCATATAGCACAGTAGTTGGCAATTCTAAATTCTGGTTGATTAACTACTGATTGTTTCTACATGTGACCATTTCCACATATAATCATGGCCCTGCACAGCTAGGATTTCAGTGGCAGCAGCAGCAGCAGCAGCAGCAGATCTTCAGCATTTTCTCTGGACATGTTTTATAGCAACTTAATTTGCGATCGCCTGTACCACTTGCTTTAAGATAAAGAATTTGATGTATCTCAGCTATCTCCTGCCAAAGGGTTATTGCATAGTCCTGAAAAACAGGAATATGCCTGGTTGCTTTGTTGAAGTGGCACAATATAATGCTGTCCTGTTTCAGTAAGTGGCTTAGCAGTCATACTGATGAATATCTGGCCACTGGACCCAGACGGCTCTCTGGGAGAAAGTGAGGCTGGTGACCTTGCACAGCCCTCCCTCATTCAAATCAAAGTCAATTGCAAGTCAAGTTATCATCTCCCTGATGTCATGGTCCTCTTCAAGAACAAGGACAAATACCACAAGCTTCATAATACTTAGTATTTGTATAGTGTTTTAAGGTTTACAAAGTGCTGGGCATATTACTTTATTTGATTCTCACATGAGAGGTAGGTGCTATTATCATTCCCAACTGAGGCTGAGAGATGTTCAGTGAATAGCCTAGGGTCACACAGCTAGATAAGTACCTGAGGCAGGGTGTGAACTCAGACCTTTCCTTACTCCAAGCCCAGTGCTCTCATACACTTTGCCATCTAGTTGCCTAGGTGAGAGAAGCTCGCTAAGCTTAGGGAGGGAAAAAATAAATCCATCCTTCCAAAGAGGATCACAGAATCACAGAGTTGGTTCTGGACTAGACCTTGGAGGCCATCTTAATCCCCTCCCCGTTTTGTAGATGAGTTAACTGAGGACCAAGGTGGTTAAGGGACTTTCCAAAGGTCACACAGGTAGTAAGCCTCAGAGGTGGTCCTTTACCTCCAGATCTAAGCTGCTGTTCAGTCATTTTTCAGTCACCCTTTGTGACCCATTTGGAGTCTTCTTGGCAAAGATATTAGAGTGGTTTGCTGTTTCCAGATCCAATGGTCTTTCCATTATTAAGATCACACAGATGTTATCCCATTGCAGCTTCTCTTGTACAAGATGATACATCAGCTCATGCTTGATGATCAAGAATATGGGGCTTCATAATAGTATTTTTTCCCACATAACTATTAGGAAT